ATTATATTTTGGTGTATTTCAAGGATTTGTTTCAATGTTTAGAGCTCTTTTTAGCAGTTTTCTGCTAGTGCTGGCTTAGTAGTGATGAATTCTTAGCATTTGTTTGTCTAAGAAAGACTGTCTTTCCTTCATTTATGAAGCTTAATTTTACTGAACACAAAATTCTTGGCTGATAATTGTTTGTTTAGGTGGCTAAAGATAGGACCCCAATCCTTTCTAGCTTTTGGGTTTCTGCTGAGAAAATTGCTGTTAACCTGATAAATTTCCCTTTATAGGTTACCTGATGCTTTTGCCTCACAGCTCTTAAGATTCTTTCCTTTGTCTTGTCTTTAGGTAACCTGATGACTATGTGCTAGGCAATGATCTTTTTGCCATGAATTTCCCAGGTGTTCTTTCAGCTTCTTGTTTTTGAATGTCTAGATCTCTGGCAAGGCCAGGAAAGTTTTCCTCAGTTACTCCCTCAAATATCATTTCCAAACTTTTAGATTTTTCTTCCTCCTTGGGAACACCAATTATTCTTAGGTTTGGTTATTTAACATAATCCAAAACTTTTTGGAGGCTTTGTTCATTTTTTAAAAATTCTTTTTTCTTTGACTTTGTCAGATTGGGTTAATTTGAAAGCCTTGTTTTCCAGCTCTGAAGTTCTTTGTTCTATTTGTTTGATTCTACTGCTGAGACTTTCCAGTGTATTTTTTTAAGATTTTTTTAAATTGCGTTTTAGGTTTTGGGATACATTTGAAGAACATGCAAGATAGCTGCATAGGTACACACATGGCAGTGTGATTTGCTGCCTTCCTCCCCTTCACCTATATCTGGCATTTTTCATTTCTCTAAGTGTGTCCTTTATTTCCAGAAGTTGTGATTGTTTTTTATTTATGCTATCTATTTTACTAGAGATTTTTCCATTCATATCCTGTATAACTTTTGATTTCTTTAAGTTGGACTTCACCTTTCTATGGTACCTCCTTGATTGGCTTAATAATCAAACTTCTGAATTCTTTTCCTGGCAACTCAGAGATTTTTGTATTGGTTTGGATCCATTGCTGGTGATTTACTGTGGTCTTTTGGGGATACTAAAGAACTTTGTTTTATCATATTACCAGAATTTTTCTGGTTCCTTCTCATTTATGTAGACTACATCGCTGGGAATATCTGGGACCATGGGTTACTGTTCAGATTCTTTTGGCCCACAGTAATGCTCCCATGATGTGGTGCTCTCTCCTTTCCTTTAGGCATGAGGCTATCTGAGACCTGTACTGCAGTGATTGTTATTTCTCTTCTGGATCTAGACACCCAGTGGAGCTGCCAGGCTCCAGGGTGGTACAGGGGAGTGTCTGCAAAGAGTTATATGATGTGATCTGTGATCTGCATTCAGGTCTCTGACCTATGGATACCAGCACCTGCTCCGGTGGAAGTAGCAGGGGAATGAAGTGGACTCTGTGAAGGCCCTTTGTTGTATTTTTGTCAAGTGCACTGGATTTGTGATGGATGGCCTCCAGCCAGGAGGTGGTGCTTTCCAGAACACATCAGCTGTGATTGTATAGGGAGAATACCAGCTTTCTCTAGGGTCATCTTTGGATAAACATTGAGGTTTCTCAGGCCGTAGAGCTCCTGAGAGGTTATGTCCCTTGTCTTCAGAATTCCTTGGCTAACCCACAGAGCCTGCAGTGGCAATCTACCTCCTTCAAAGGGTCTGTGAATTCTCTTGGCTTTCCTGATATGTTCCTGCAGTAGTTCTTGGAGAAAAAGTTCACATGTGGGTCTCCACATGATGCTGTGTTCCCCCAAGTGGGAGCTGCAAATTAGTCCTGCCTCCTATCCACCATTTTTTCTTGAACTCCTCCTAAATGTGTACTTTTATTGAGCCATTAAATCCGTGATGTTTTTACACAGCAATAGAAAATTAACACAAATGCCTACTGGATGCTAGCACTGCATTCAATACTGATGATTCTGTGGCAAGGGAGATGAGAAGCTTGTTCTCATACGTCATAATGCCTAATGAAGGGAGACAGGTGATAATAAGAATCACCATCGTGAATGTCAAAAGAAAAGGGAGGTTAGAGAAGCATGTTGTGGAACCTAATATAAGGTGAGAAGAAGATCTCCTTAGAGAAGTGAAGTCTGAGATTGAAGGATGGGTAGAAGTTAACCAAATAAAGAGATAAGGAAGAAATCTCCAGGTGGATGAACCAGAGCTCCAAAGAGAATGCAGAATGTAAAAAAGAGAATGAAGAGAGAGACAGGTAAGGAGACACAGATAGGAGAATCCTACAGAACAGGCTTTGCAGGATTTGTCAAGTAAGAACTGCCTGCAAAGGAGATAGAAGAGGCAACCAGAGAGTAAGTCAAAGAAACATGTCCTTCTTCTGTGTATTTTAGATTAGTGAGGCTTTATTTTGCTTAAATAATAACAAGAAGAAGCAATGATAGGGAAATCTGGAGATAATCCATAAAGCAAGTCCATGAGGAAGTCAGACTAGGTAGGGTCCATTTCACAGGTGGAGATAGAGGCTGTAAATAATAAGGTCTTGCTTCCACTACAGCAGGAAGAATAAAAAAAAAGTGTGTGTGTGTGGGGGGGGGGAACAGGTATGTTTGCAATTTTGGTGGTGACAGGTTGAGGGAGACATTTTCTGATGGTTTCAACTTTTCTCTACTCCCAAACTAGAGGTCATCTGCTAAAAGTAGCATTGAAAGAGGAGAGAGGAGAGGGTTTGAAATGGCTGCTGTGGAGAATTATCCAAACAATTTACTTGGAGAAGACAGGATTGCCAATAAGTGCTAAAGATGTAATTCAAGAATTACAAGAAGTATTTAGTTAAAGACTATAATCCTAAGTTAATTAACACAGGAATGGAAAACCAAATATTGCATGTTCTCATTTATAAGTGGGAGCTAAACCCTGAGCACACATGGACATAAACATGAGAAGAGTAGATACTGCAGATTACTAAAAGTGAGAGGGAGGGAGGGGGGCATGGGTTGAAAAACTACCTATCAGGTACTTTGCTTACTGCCTGGGTGATGGGACCCATACTCCAAACCTCAGCATAACACAATATATCTGTGTAACAAACCTGTACATGTCTCCCCCCCATCTAAAAATTGAAATTAAAAAAAAAAAAAAAAAACTCTGGCACAAATATAGATGTGATTCATTAAAGGTAAAGGGAGACTTGGGCATTGAGCCAGAGACAGAAAGCAGGAGAAAATGTGAGAGAAGACTGGCAAACTGAGGACTTGCTGTTTGGATGGGGCAAAAGATTACAGAAAAAAAAATCATACAGTGAATGAAACGGGCTTAATATCTAGATTTGAGAACAAGGAAAATTTCTGTGAATGGACCAGAACAAGCTATCGGTCTTAGACACACCTAAGCTCTCTGGTTTTGGTTTTTGTTGTTGTTTTAGAGACAGGTTCTTGCTCTGTCACCCAGGCTGGAAGTCAGTGGCACAATAATAGCTCATTGCAGCCTCAACCTCCTCCCCTGTCAGCCTCCCATGCAGTTAGGAGTTTTTTTTTTTAATTATCACTATTTTATGTAGAGACAAACATCTCTGTGTTGCCCAGGCTGGTCTTAAACTCCAGGTCTCAAATAGTCCTCCCACCTTAGCTTCCCAAAGTGCTGGGATTATAGGCATGAGTTTTGTTTTGTATTGTTTTGGCTTTAGAAGATGAGAAAACACATCCAGGGATCCAGGCTCAGGGTCCAAAAACCAAGTCACCTCTGCAGTCTCTATAGATGCCCTAGATTCACTGCATCCCTCAAGGGAAGAAACCCCAAACCTCTTTATACCTCCCACAGGAGATTTCTCCTATGGTGTGGTTCTCTATTCTCATCTTCATTGGCCTCCTCTGCCCATCTTTTCTTTTTTAACATAAGATCCCTAGGTCATACTAACCCTTTTCTCCCTGTTGTTATTTGGTCTCTCAAGTGTCAACATAACACTCAGAATCCTTTTAACTCTGTCTCTGTTTTTAGATGCCTTGGTCAGTGGCTGTGGGATGCTGCACATCTCCCCACCATATGCCAGAGAAGGGCTGAGCACCCACCACAGCTGTTCTCCATAGCAGAGAGCCCTCCCAAACCCTGCAGCTACCACCCACCAACATAGGTTAGTCACTTCTCAGACAGCATCTGGGTTCCAGATCACTGTCTCCAACTGCCTGCTGGAAATAACCACCTCTACATCCTTAAAGGATCTCAGTATACCAGACCACCTGTCTCCTCTTGCAGGACCATGCTCTTGATACCTTGCACACAAATGCCCTTGTTATCCTCATATGATCTTTGAGAATAACCATCTAACCTGTTGTCCAAGTCAAAAACTTGGGAGTTATCCCTGATACCTCCCTTGGCTTTTCTTCTTACAGTAAGTATGTCCAAATCTCATAGATGTTACTCCCTTAGTATCTCTCAAATAAGAAATTGGATGGTATTCTGTTTACTGTAAAAGCTTCAATGACACCCCCTCTAACGCCTACAAGATAAAAATCTAAGTTCCTTTATAGAGCAGGTCAGGTCCTTGATCAGCCAACCTTTGCCTGCCTAAGTAGAATGATATTTTATCCCTCACCTATAGTTTATTTTCTACACTCAAGTATTACTTATTAACATATATATTCCAGACCATACCACCCTTTCATATGCTTTTTTGCCTTTTAATAAACTATGTGCTCAGTTTTACAATATCCTTCCCTAATTTGTCTGCCTCTCTGGTGTTACTGCTCCTGACACTGCCACTCAGGGTGTTTTATTTTATGTTTTTGTGGAGCTTACTGCTCATCTCTGTTATAGCAGTTATCACAAGGTATTATAATTATCCAACTGATGGCCAAGGTCATGTCATAGTCACTCAGGCATCCGTAGCAAAGGCAGTGACTACTAAGTAGCTAGAGGTTAATTTTTGAATGAATAAATGAACACAAATGAAGATGTTGCTAAATTTCTCATTACCCTCAAAGTTTACATGACAAAGACAGCAGGAGTCATGACATGGGTTCTTGGTTACCCACTTTTTTTTAATCAGATGTTTCCTCTTTGGATTTTGTTCCAAAACAACAAAGATGAAGAGAGTTGTAGATCCAGTGTAGAAATTTTGAAGAGGTGGTACTGAGTAGATATGGTAATAGAGGTGCCTCAGTGGGTATCCATAATTTTCAAGATCCATCTTGCATAGGGATGAACATCTGTGAAGAATCCTTCACTTCCCATCGTGACACTTCCTTTTGCCCAGGACAAGATTCCATGCAATCTTCCATTGCAGATGGCTGGAGCAGCTGAAACTTCCTTATAGAGAGAAGGAACAGAAAGTCAATGCATCTTTGTCCTTATGGAACAAGAGTAAGTGCCAGTTGGGCACGGTGGCTCATGCCTGTAATCTCAGCACTTTGGGAGGCCGAGGCAGATGGATCACAAGGTCGGGAAATCAAGACCATCCTGGCCAACATGGTAAAACCCTATCTCTACTAAACATACAAAAATTAGCCAGGTGTGGTGGCACATGCCCATAGTCCCAGGTACTCAGGAAGCTGAGGCAGGAGAATCGCTTAAACCCGGGAGACAGGTTGCAGTGAGCCAAGATCGCACCGCTGGACTCCAGCCTGGGCAACAGAGCGAGACTCCATCT